AATGTTTTGGCAAGAATTTTAGACCATAAAGAAGCTATCATATCCCACTTAAGTTGGGCTAGCCTCTTTCTGGGTTTCCATACTCTGGGACTTTATGTCCATAATGATGTCATGCTTGCTTTTGGTACTCCGGAGAAACAAATCTTGATCGAACCTATATTTGCCCAATGGATACAATCTGCTCATGGTAAAACTTCCTATGGGTTCGATGTACTTTTATCTTCAACGAACAGTCCAGCGTTCAATGCGGGACGAAGCATATGGTTGCCTGGTTGGTTAAATGCTGTTAATGAGAATAGTAATTCTCTATTCTTAACAATAGGGCCTGGAGACTTCTTGGTTCATCATGCTATTGCTCTTGGTTTACATACAACTACATTGATCTTAGTAAAAGGTGCTTTGGATGCACGTGGTTCAAAGTTAATGCCAGATAAAAAAGATTTTGGTTATAGTTTTCCTTGCGATGGTCCCGGACGAGGTGGTACTTGTGATATTTCGGCTTGGGACGCATTTTATTTGGCAGTTTTCTGGATGTTAAATACCATTGGATGGGTTACTTTTTATTGGCATTGGAAACACATTACACTATGGCAGGGTAATGTTTCACAGTTTAATGAATCTTCTACCTATTTGATGGGATGGTTAAGAGATTATCTATGGTTGAACTCTTCCCAACTTATCAATGGATATAACCCTTTTGGTATGAATAGTTTATCAGTCTGGGCGTGGATGTTCTTGTTTGGACATCTTGTTTGGGCTACCGGATTTATGTTCTTAATTTCTTGGCGCGGATATTGGCAGGAATTGATTGAAACTTTAGCATGGGCTCATGAACGCACACCTTTGGCTAATTTGATTCGATGGAGAGATAAACCAGTGGCTCTTTCCATTGTGCAAGCAAGATTGGTTGGACTAGCCCACTTTTCCGTAGGTTATATATTTACTTATGCAGCCTTCTTGATTGCCTCTACATCGGGCAAATTTGGTTAATTGTAGAATATCCGGCAATAATGTAATTTCCTTCTATGGAAAGGGGAAGCCATTTATACATCTAGGATGTGACTTCTATAATTGATACTAATAAGAAATCAACCATTATGGCAAGGAAAAGTGTGATTCAGAGGGAGAAGAAGAGACAAAAATTGGAACAAAAATATCATTTGATTCGTCGATCCTCAAAAAAAGAAATAAGCAAAGTTCCGTCGTTAATTGATAAATGGGAAATTCATGGAAAATTAGAATCACTACCGCGTAATAGTGCACCTATACGTTTACATCGACGTTGTTTTTCGACCGGAAGACCGAGAGCTAATTATCGAGACTTTGGATTATCTGGACACATACTTCGTGAAATGGTTCATGCAGGTTTCTTGCCGGGTGCAACAAGATCCAGTTGGTAAGGATTCCAAATTCTCTTCATTTTTTTATTCATTTTTATTATCAGCGATCATAGGTGGGTCCCTTTACCGTTCTGTATAAATGGTTTATTCTATTTGTACAGATATGGTAGAGGGACCCGTTTAATCTTTTTTTTGTCCATTAGTTATAAATTATTATCCTTATCGCGGAGTAGAGCAACTTGGTAGCTCGCAAGGCTCATAACCTTGAGGTCACGGGTTCAAATCCCGTCTCCGCAAAAACAAGGGTTCAAGAAGAAAAAAAGGGGGGGAGTCAATTCTATACCATTTTGCATACTATGACTATAAAATACATAACTAAGTGGAGGCGGATAGCGGGAATCGAACCCGCGTCTTCTCCTTGGCAAAGAGAAATTTTACCATTCGACTATATCCGCATTTTTTTTGTGCTTGATATGTGATTCTATTTGTACAGAGATGGGTCTGATACTCTATTAGGGAAAATTCAAAAGAAATGTATATAATGCATATTCTTTTCTAAATAATAGAATATTTTTTTTATATTAATATTAGTTTCTATTAAGAATTCCGATTTCTATTATTATTATATATTCTTTTTTCGATATATCTATAGAATCGAATTAAAATTATGATTCTATAATATATATAGAATATTTTTATTTACTTTTTTAAGAAAAAAGTTCTAATTAATAATAAATTGAATTATATAAATTCTAAATTTTTATATTAATTATATATTCTATATTTTTTATATTAATTAATAGACCACGTATAAATAGATTTCTAGTATTTTAAAATTGAAATATTAATCTTATCTTATTCTTAATTAATCTTATCTTATTCTTATATAATAGAATAAATAAAAATAATAGAATATAATATGAATAGAGTATTCAAATTGAAAATTTAAATTTTTTATAGTTTATTCGATTTATTTTATTATTTAAATTTTATTGTTTTTTTTTTAGTTTTACAATATACCATCATATAAGTATAAGATATAAGCTTTTTCCAATAGAAGAAGTTTGACCCCTCCCTATAATGTGTTATAGTTTTCTTTATTTTTAGGGACTTATCTATTCCGTTTTTTTAATGTGCCTGACAATCCGAAAGAATTCTGG